TTTTTAATTTTTTTCTGAATAATAATTGTTTTTTGTATGTTAACTGTTTTATGGTTTTATTGTATGCTGCCCAGAGTCACTTTTTTGTGAGACAGGCAGCCATATAAATTTGATGAATGAATGAATGACTAAATAAATAAATTAATTAATGCAAATGATCTGATTTTCATAATGACATAATCATACAAGTGACAAAAATTACCACAATGATGTCCTATCATATTAAATGGATGTTTGTGAATAATGGCCCTCCCCCCCATTTAGTCCATTACATCAAGGCTTTACTGTAATAACTGACAAAGGCATTGCAGAAAACTAGAAAGAACGTGTAGTCATAATGAGATTTGTAGAATTTGGCTTAGCCATTATGGTTCATAAACCATGACTTATGCCTTGAAATGGTCCATGAAGCCATCCTTTAAAGAAACAGTGGCTAAAATTAGGTCGTTGCTTAGTACCATGGGTGAGCCAATTTGATTAATTGAAGGACTGTGTTCAAGCAACAGGATATAATTAATGGAAAATAATGTATCTGTGGAAAATTCTGATATAAACTAAACCACTAGGCAATTTCATTCCAGGGTTGAGTTTCTCCCCAAACCTAGATAGCCAGTTAAGTTAATTAACGGCCTGTTCTCAGTATCCAGTTACAAGCCACTTGTAAAGGCACAGCCTTTAGTAACCATTGTGGGGGGGGGGGTTTCTTTTAAAATGGAAAGGAACAGGAGAGGATAAAAACACCACATTATGATATACCTTATGTGGTGTTTAAGTTACCCAGAAATTGATTTTGATGCCCTGCAGTAATTTCAGAAAATGAGTATCTAGTTCCCAAACTGATACTTTCAAACTATCATATCTCAAGCAATCTTTGGTCAATATGTACTGCTAAGCCCCTCACAGATATAATGGCAGATATACAGAGTTGTTTAAAATCAGTTATGAGCTTTACCTTGACTAGTTAAGAGCACTGCAAAGTTCAGGGTGTTTTTCAGTCAAAAACCTTCATTCTGAGAGTGACTAATGAGATTATTTGCCATCTGTGAATGGCAGCAGCCCAAGAAGGTGGCTTAGAAAGCTGGGCAAGCTAGTAAGGATGGAGATTCATTTTTCTTCCTTTATTATACTCCCCCTTCCCTGAGATCAAAAATAGAAATGTGTGGTAGGAATCAGGCTGCACTGGTTTCCCATAAGAAAACCTACAGCTCTGAGTTTCTCTCAAGTCTGGTAGAGAACAAGAATCTGTTGGAGAGTATTGTCCTTCAGTGAGCCATCATATACACCATTTATCAAAGAAATACTGTCACCCTCCAGTGAACACCTCCCAAAGAAACCGAACCTGAATAAGTAGTATTACCTCTGAATTTCTCTCTGCTTAGATGTAGGGTGAGTGCATATGGCAGTAGCATGTCTGCAATACCATCTTTCTGCCTAAGACATTCTTCGGCTCCAGTGAAACAGTCTTCTGAATTTGTAGACTGTCGTTGGCAATAGGCCAGCTTTGAAGTGACAGGGAGAGACAGAGAGGGCAGACAAGAGATCCCAGCTACCAGGCTTTCCGACTGAGTGATGTTTTAATGAGCGTGGGAGAGGAAGGACAGTGAACAGAGCTTCATGTCTTTGCAATGACTGACAGGCTTGTTCTCAGATTGAAAATGACCATGGATCATGTTTTGGCTCTTGCCATTAGAATCATAAATACTGGAGCAGGAAAAATACATTAAGTGTTATTTTCTCCTGGGTCCAGCCATTGTGATTCGCTGCAATCATAGAGCTTGGATCTATTACTTTGATATGTTCTGCTTTATGATAGGAATATTTTCCCTTTGTATTCTTACACACACACCCACAGAGACACAGACACATAGACACACACATACACAAAAACACCTTTTATCAGATTTCTCCAAATCACCCCTACAGTTATTGCTGGCAATGAGATGGCCTCTTTTAGGCCAACATGGTGGTGGTTGGGGGGAGGCAAAAAGTGGAAATTTCAGTTTTGTACTCTTCTTTAATCTTGCCAATATAATAGGACAAAGAATCAGTGTCTGAATATTCAAGCTGTTTGGCTAGATGATCTTAAGAGCTTTTGCTTAGACAGCTAAAGGACATGGAATCTCATATTTTTAAAAACAATGATAATAGTAACAATGACAACACACAGCTCTTAATAATGGCTGAAAACTGAAACACAGGGAGATTATAAAGTAAGTTAGATGGGGGGAAAAGAATTAAGAATGTTTTTAAAAGCTAAACTTTAAGACTCAGTTGGGTTACTGCAGCAACAGAATTTTGTTACAAAATCAGTATTCAAAATGCTTGTCTGAAGACACCTTGTCAATAGCTAAGCTCAGACCTAATTTCCTCTCCCCAGACTAACCCTGGCTAAAAATTGCATTTGAATGAAGGCAAATGGTTTAGCCATTCTGTGTTCCTGCAGATCAACAGGCATTCCTGCAGGTTTGAATATTAACAGTGACAGTTATGCTGAAAGAACCCTATATTCAGATACACCCTTTGACTTTCTGTCTTCTGCATGTTTACTCAGTATTATATCCTATTGCATTTTCAGTATAAAATGCTTATTTCTATTGTGCTTCCAGTCAAGAGCTGGTATCAGATATAGCAGTGTCTGGGTTTCAAATGTCATCTGTTGGCTATACAAAAGTAGGTGCAATTTTAAGGCTACTCTCAGCTCGAAAGGCAGTTTTTAAATACATTGATTAAATTGTCTCCCCGCTTTTTTTTTAGATATGATGACCCAACAGAAAGCTCAAATTTCCTTTGGCCTTCTCTTCCAACTGGCCTGCTCCTTTGTGTATGGCTTCCCTGCTGATTCTGGGACTGAATTCCGGTCTGCCTTCTCTGTTGCTAGGACCAGCAGCATGGAAGGAAGCACTGAGATGGTGATCACCTTTGATAAAGTCTATGTAAACATAGGGGATGACTTTGACCCCAAAGCTGGACTATTTCGATGTCGTATCCCTGGAGCCTATTACTTTTCCTTCACTGTTGGAAAGTACCCTAAGAAAAATTTATCAGTCATGCTAATGAGAAACAAGAATGAAGTGCAGGCAATTGTATATGATGAACATCACCGCAAAGAGCGAAAAGTGGCCAGCCAAAGTGCCATGCTGCAGTTGGACTATGGTGACACTGTGTGGCTGCGTTTACACGGGGATCCAAAGTATGCCCTGTATAGCAATGTGGGCCCCTATACAACTTTCAATGGGTATCTCATTTATCCAGACACCTCTAGCTATTTCCAAAATACAGTAGGATCCCCAGAAGTAGGAAAAGAACCTTCACGGCCTCCCTCTCATGTCATTCAGCAGCTTTCCATCAACCAAAACCAAGTCTCAGAAAGACTCCTGCTTTCTGATGAACCAGTTAGACCACAGGATCCTCGCTCTGCATTTTCAGCTGCCCGTTCTGAAAGCCTCCTAGGATCGGATGAAAAGCAAACCCAGCATGAGCCAATCACATTTGACACAGAGTTTGTGAATATTGGGAATGACTTCAATTTTTCAAATGGCATCTTTACATGTCGTGTTCCAGGTGCCTACTATTTCTCATTTACCATTGGTAAGATGCCTTTCAAAACAATGTCAGTAAAACTGATGAAGAACCACAATGAAGTTCAGGCTATGATCTATGATGATAACCACTCCAAAAGGCGTGAGATGCAGAGTCAGAGCATTATGCTTCCTCTGCAATCTGGTGACACTGTCTGGCTCTACAGTCACCAGCATGATGGCTATGGTGCCTATAGCAATCATGGCAAATACATAACCTTCACTGGCTTCCTTGTCTATCCAGAGACTAAGACAAAAACCCCTTCAGATTCCAACATGTCTCCAGGGTCAAATCTCTAAATGTGCATACATAATAGGCATAAGAGCAGTCAAGATGCAACAGACTCTTGTGCAGGTCCTGGACAAATGTCACTCTTCATATGACAAGATACAAGCATGCTATTATACGTCCAGTACATTCCTTATGGACATGTTCCTTGTGTTTCCTGCCTGCAGAGCCATTGTTGTTTCTCTCATTCATCCATATGTTTTGTGTTTTGTTCATTATTACTGTTAGATTTAAGCCTAAAGCATGAGACAGTTTGGGGTGTAAAAAGAATAGGGGGAGTTAAATGAGATATGCAAAAAGGAAATTTGCAGAAATGCTGGAAAGGGTTTTAAAAGGCTCCCTCTACAGTACATTTGAGAATTGGTAACATTCTGTTCAACTGCTGACAAGCATCACAAGAGAGGGACAGATGTAATGGAACACCGAATGCAATAAAAGCCTGAAACAAAAAGGACTCTGTGTATTTGTACATTTGATGTGGCAATATCCAAACCTTTCCATTCATGAAAAAGCATCCCAAGCTTGAAAAGTGTAGTATGTTTGTGGTACACCTCCAGTAATTGAAGAATCATTTGGTTTTTGATCAATTAAAAAGTACTGGATATTTTAAACAAATTTGAGTATTGTTAAACCCTTGATAAAACTATTGCAGGGAGTCTAAGTTAATCAACAAAGCGATTCGCCATTCAGTATTAAAAGGAAATATTATCCTAGAGACTTCTGTAAGTCTTCTCCACCTAATGCAGAAACACAGCAGACCCAAAACAGTATTTTTTTTAAAAAAACCAACAAATATACTCTTAACTAGGTCAGTGATTAAAACTGATTCCACCTGATAAATCAACTATGGATATTTTTAGTGAATTAATCTACCAGTTAAAGTTCCTCACCTGTGTGTTTGCATGTTCATGGGCTATTCAAATGATAATATTTTTGCATTGCACTTTTGGATTATTGCAAAAGCAGTCCAACAGAGAAGTTATATGCTTCCAAAGGAAATAACTTATACCCACATGTGGATCTGTATATGACTGTTTACAGCAGTAGAAGAGCAATAGCTGTAACAAATGGAAAGGATCAGTTTGTTGAGTTCTTCTATAGTACTAGCTCATGAATAAAGTTGCTGGAGCATTTGCATATTTTATTCTGCCCATAAAGAAACTATTTTGGGGGAAAGGGTAGAACTGGAGACTCCAGACATAAGCATCTGTTCCAACCAGTTTTGTGTACATGCAATAATGAGCAATCAAGTTAAGGCTGCAAGATAAAAATACTTCTTAGTTATGATCATACAGTCATGAGCTTGTAAATTTGTATTTTAAAATATCACATAGCCTTTAGAGTTTACAGTTTCCAGAGCAAACATATGTAATATCCTCACCTCATTTATATGTTTACATACTTTATTATAATCCCATGTTACTGACTTAAAGCTACATTCTTAACAACCAATACAAAGGTTTGCTCCCCAAATGGTTTGATGCCACATTTAGTTATAATACTCATCACTCTCTTTTTGTCATAAAAAGTATTTATCATAAACAAACAGGATATTCAGCATTTTAAATTGTCTGATGAACCCCCCAACCCTAACCCTTCAAATGTCCTAGATGCTCTCTGTCCCCCCCCCCTTTTTTTTTGCAGGTCCTGTGTGTATAATTGTAAGGTTTTCCACCAGTGCAACAACAGAACAGAAAGAAAATGAAGAAATGTCATTGCTTGAGCACTGCTTTCTACACTGACAAGATCTTCCTTTTAACATACATCTACTTTCTTGTCATTTAGACAAGACAATCTGTGTTTTTTGACAGTTGTTAATGAGGAGGGGCATATAGTCCTATTTTCACCTGAAACCTAATCCCAGCCAGGAGCAAAGGCCACTCTGGTGAGAAAAGTAATCTCTGAATGGGACACCCCAGAGACAGAGGGAGAGCAGTGTCAGAGCTCCTAGATCAGCTTTCTGTAATTTGGTGTTCTCCATATATGTCAGGACTAAAAGTCCCAGAATTCTTTGTCAGGATAGTCATGGCTGGGAGTTGTAAGTCCTAGTACATCTCAAGGTCATCAGGAAAGGCTCTTCTAAATGTAGTGAAGTCAGATACATAAAAGAACAAAGAACTGTCTACAGAACTAGAGAAAAGAAAGCAGGAAGGTTGCTACTTTGGACCATGCAGAGTCTCAGATAATGTTACAGAGGTCAAAGAACCTCAAATGTATTTCTGCGTTTTAATTTGCATATCACGGGGTGAAAGACTCAAGTTTTGCCTTTTATGCATGAAAATCAGTTTCCCTGAGTCATAACTAAGCTGGGCTGATAGAATTTCTTCAGTGTACTAACATAGACAGGAATTTCCTGCCAAGGTCTGGAGGCTAAGTGTTGAATGGAATCCATCAGTTCCTGAGGACAGAATTGTTTGCAGAGCTCACGGATTATTTCAGTAACCAGCTGAGAGAAAAGGTTGATCCACAGGTTTTTATCCAGGCCTTGGATGATCCGAATCTGGTAAGCAGTAAAGACGGTAGTGAAAACAAGCTGCTCAAATTCCTCCGGAGTGATCGGGGTGCCAGACTGAGAGAAGTGATCCAGGTATTCTTCAATTCCTGCTGGATTTTTGGGAACTTTATGCTGAAATAACCAGAGTAAGCGCTTTGCAGGACGCAAGGTGGCCAATTCTTCATCTTCTATCTTGAAGGTCTCATTTGCCGTAATTTCAATCCCTCCCCAAAGTAACTGAAAAAGAGGAAGTATGAGGGGGTAGCAGAGACTTTTTCAAGTCTCTAAATTTGGGCTTGGATGATACTCAGTGCGAAAGAACTATGTAACTTATGGCCTGCATCGAGATACCACGCTGAGCTAAACTGTGCTAAGTGAAGCCCATGGTTCTGAAGGATGAAAACTGCTAACTGGCTTAGGCAATGTTGAAACCAAACAATGTGGTCAAAGATGAATATTTATTGCCCATTAAGAAATATTTTATATATGTATTTAAAATACCTATGTATCACTTCTTATTTTAAAAATCCCAACATTTACAGTAATGATCAAAATATAAAACAATAACAGCAATGAAAAACAGATGCTTTTTTTTAAAAAGGCCATGAAAAGACAAATATTAGGAGGCATTACCTATCCCTTCAGATTCTTCCCCGTCAGTAGCAAAACCAGTTACTTCGGCCTAAGAGCAAAGCCAGCTGTTTCAGCCTAATGTGCAGAAATAACTCCAGGATGCCATCTCGTGGCTCTTTGCTAAAAGAGTGCCTCAGGCCCAGCCATTAAAGTGCATTTCACCAGTCTGTGAGCTGGCAGGAAACTGACGCAGAACAAGTTAACAAACGGGATGGGTGGATTTCTTTAGCTTAGTTTCCTTTCACAGCAGGCATTACCTGCTGGCAGCAAAAGCAAGCACCAGTCCCTCTCCTTAATGTGGAGTGGGCGGGGGGGGGGGGGCGGACAAGAGTGTGCTTTGAATGGGGTGGGGAAGAGGGATTTTAGCCACCCATCAACCTACCTAACAGCTCACAGGCCTGTGATCTGCCAATTTCATTATTTATGAACTTGGATCTAATGTGGGGTGAAGCAGGAGGGAGCTCTCCCGATGTTTTTCCAGTTATCCCATCTGAAACTTCAATGCCTTAATTAAAATAATGGTTATCCTGAGATCCCCACCAATACAGAACTTCAATAAGCCCAATGCTAGGAAGCAAAATGATTTCTGTAAAACAAACCAAAAAACCCAAAAACCAACCCTATCACATTCTGCAGAACTAGAAAAGGAGGAAGAATCACTTGAATGGTAATAGAGACTTGATAATCCAGTGATATGAGTGTATGATTTGGAGGCACAAATCCACAGAGAATAATGACATCCCATGAGCAACTAGAATAACCCCACATTAGAGAACAGTATTGGGTTTCCTCATTTTTTTACTAGGGAGATAGGTTCTGCTTATGTTACCTCTAATGCGATCTCGAGGTTCTCTTCTATATCTTTATCTGTAAGGTTATTGTGATGAAATTGCTCGTCTGGAAAATAGGAATGGAAAATAAATTTTAAAAATTAAGTACCGGGATTAAGAAAATATCCTTTGACCAATCTCCTTCACATCTGCAATGATTTCTGATTTCCTTTTATTGTTTGAGGATTTAAATAAAACAAAGTGAGATAAGTTCTAGCAAAAACTTAAAGCAATGTTATAGTCCATCAAGGTCCCAAATCACTCCCATTCATTCTGTCTTTTGTTATGTCGTTGTATGCAGTTAGTTGCTTAATGGGAAGATACAAACTAAAAGAAGTATGAGCACCTAAGTTATGAGTGACCTCACAGAAGAATGGAAGTTTCACTGGCTGGCAGTTGTTCTATCTGATGCTTGGATACATTCATTACCATCCTTAGAGCTCTTGGATTGCCTCCTTTAAGCAAATAGAGATAAGATGGCTGGAATCTCAGCAGCTCTAATAATAGTCAGAGAAAAGACTCTGGGCTTATCCACACCACCATCACCAGAATAGGAGACAACGTTGTCTGAGACAACTTTGTCTCTATTAATCCCCCACTCACCATCACAACAACCCCAGGGCATGTTTTTCAGCTATGCTTCCCAAGATATGTTATGTCACCTTTAGTGTTTCTGTCCATTTTGGATAGTGTGCTTCAGTTTGTTGCCTAAGAGCTATTTGGAAACTGGGGATGAAACCCTTCTACCTTCAGGTGACTGGAAAAACAGTAAAACATTACCCAGTGGACTTGGGGAGGAAAAAGAGCACAGGAAAAATTAGGAGAAATAGAAAAAAAAAGTTTTCTGCAAAGTTTCAAACTAAGCAACCTTCTATTTCTGAACAAGAGTAATAGCCATTATGCTGAAACAGCACTCAGGGTAATTTTGTAAGCCTCCCGGAGTCTGTGTGTGAGTTGGGCAGCCATATAAACTTGTTTGTTTGTTTGATTGATAAATAAATAAACAAATAAATAAAGCTCTAAAAGATATTAGAAAGAAACAGGGTTAGAAACAAATACACTTGTAAAGCTGCTAATTCTTCTTGCACTTATGTGCATTTTTATGCTTTAATCTTGTATATATAAATTCAGTTATACACACACACACACACACACACACAAACTTATATATATGTCCAGGATGACCCACCCACGGGAAGGAAAGGCACTGCTTTCCTGGAAGAGAAAGGTGGGAGAGCACAGCAGCTGGGGAATTGCCCAGTGGGAGGTGTAGTAGCCTGTGCTTTGGACCAGATTCCTTGCAAACTTTTGGCAAAGGGTTTCAGTGCAGATATTTTTTCAAACTACCTTAAAGTCCAGCTGGCACAAGCACAGGACAGGGGTAGCTTAAGTGGTAAATGTGGATGTCTCACGGCCTCCAGCTATAGATATGAGATGGGGTAATAGTGAGGTTTTGGAGGACCAAGTCAAGTGGGACAGGATGCCAGTCTGACCACCTGTTGCAGTTTCCAGCTCTCTGTATAGTAGATGCTGCCTGGTCGCTGTGGATGAGAAAAGAGGCAGCAGCCATTTTGGTTGGCTTCTGGAGGTGGGTTGGGTGGAGCTCCTATCGTCCCAGTCAGCAATATATTGTGGGGTAGTTCTAGACCCTAACAGAAGGCAGGAAATCTTTAGTTAAGACTAAGATAATTATGGATATTGTTAATTGGAAAAAACATAAACATCCTGAAAAATATAGATTGCTTTAAGGAGTTGGCCTGTTTTGAAATCAAGGAGTTTCTAATTTCATGCTCTTGTATATTGTTTAATCTTTGTGTCATCAGTTATAGTATCCATTGATTTTATGTATTGTATATAAACAATTTTAGTTGCTTCTGCACTTGATGTTCTTGCCCCTTTTTTGTACTTCATTGTTAGAACACATAGATAGTTACATCTATGCAAATGATTTTGTAGCCTAGATAGATAACGTAAAGTTTGCAGCATGTTATCTTTCCCATTAGCTTCCAGTATCGTTGTCCCCAATTTACTGCTCTTTGCTGGAAGTTGGAAGAAGTGGCACCAAGTCATATTCTGTAAGCATCACTGCAACTTTGTGCCAGATGTGGCGTACAAAACCGGGTACAGGTAGTCCTCGCTTAGCAACCACAATTGGGACTGGCAATTTGATTGCTAAATGCTGCAGTCGCTAAGTGGAAAATTACGTGACCATGACAGGCTTATGACCTCACTTCCCCTTCAGTCATTATGCAAAGCGCTACAGTCATGAAGCGAAAAATCACATGACCGCAACTTACTATTTTATTTCCACCTTCTTTATTACCCCTGCTTGTTGCAAGCTGGTTGCAAAGCACACAAATGGTGATCGTGTGACTGAGGGACACTGCAACAGTCATAAATACAAGGATTGGTTGCAAAGTTATTTTTTTTAGCACCGTTGTAACTTCAAATGGTTGCTGCACGGACTACCCGTATGGACAAAATCACTGGAAAGCCCCAGATACTTCCCTTTTGAAGTGGAGGGTCTGCCGTTTTTGGAATAGGAGTTTAAAGCAGTGAGTTAACTACACAATTGCTGATGGGGGGAAATTATTTCTAACATTCTCCTTTGGAGCTACTACGTGAAGCTCAGATACATACAAAAAATATAAACTCTTTATTTCTTCGCTTATAAAAAATATGGCTATCAAGATTTCATTTTAAAGTCATTAACTTCAGGAAAGCAAAGAAAATCACGTCGATGCCGCTTAATAACTAAATCATCCAATTTTGTTTAAAGAAATCTATGCTTCCTTCCCAGTTGCAGCTCTTCTTAGATCAAAGACAGATGTCTACAATTTTGAGTGATATTTGGTTTGGAGCTCCATTTATTTTTCCCTAACACATAACTAAATAAAGTTTTGAGGCTCAAAAGCTATGTTTTCTATATTCTGATAAAATAACATTAAATAGTTCTGTGTAAGGGTAGGCTGGGTCCTGATAGCTATTATCTCAGGCAGGGCTACAAGACTTTTGAAAATAAAGCTGTCACTGGAAAGTATTTCTTTGCCTCTAAGAGCCAAATGACATATTAACCATCCTGAAATCCAAAACAACCGATTTTTAGAGTTTCCCACATTGTGCTCTTCATCTGTCCCGGATATAAGTATATACCCGGAGCAGATGAAGAGCACAGTGTGAGAAACTCTAGTTATTTCATATTCCATATCCTATTTATAATGAAATCATATTCTACATAATAATTCAGCCATCATTATTTCTGAAAGGGAAGTCAACAGCAACTCAAATGTGATTTTAAAAAGGGAGCAGCAACCAAACAAAAACTATTAGAAGTTGTACATGGAGATAAACCATTGCACAAAAATATTCTCATAAAACATCAGCTAAAAAACCAAACATAAAACATAAAACCAAAAAATTATACTATTATATAATTTTAATATCATGTATAATTAATAGTTATATAATATTATATATCATTATTATTATATTATTTTATAAAAACATAAAGCCAAACTTCTCAGACATTCTGAGATCATTCCCAGATGATAACATATTTTTCATTTAAGGAAAAATCTGTCCATGTTTATTCTAGATACTAAACAGAAAAATAAGTGTCACTAAGATCTTCCAAGATTATATATGAAAAATATTTGATGTTTTGTTCTACTTAAACTCAAAGGGCTGACACTTTCAGGCATTTATAGCTGTACAAGAAGCAGCAAAACCATGAATGCAGATGCTCCTGCCACCCCTTCATTAAATCTGCAAATTGTGGAAACCTTTATCAGTTGAATCTGTTCTACAGATAGTAAAAGCCCAGCGATTCTTCTGCAAGAAAAATAACACACTTTGCAAATATTTTTGCATTTGTTTCAATCTATTAAGGTTGCTTGGAATTATATGGCAGAAATCTACAACTTCCTACACAGCTGTCCATAATGGGGAGCTTCCATGCATACAGTTAAGCTCTCCAATAATAGGAGTGCAGGATTCTCTGCACTTGCCAAGCTTGTCCCATCTATACAAGTTACTGAAGGAACAGCACAGCAACACTTCTTGGAGTTTTATCATAACAGCCTTAATCCTGAATGAGACATCCATGAACTACAGTGAGCCTCTTGAATCAGAATTAAATTAAGGATATTGGGAATAAATTGGATATATTGGCAAGGCAATCTTCTCCAGTGCAGATGCATTTCCTACCTGTCTGGCTATGGGATCCAGCAATCAGAAGGAGAAGCAGAACTGCCCAGACAGAAGGTCCAAAGTGTAGCTGGAGACTTTGGGCCATGTTGCAAAGAATCCTTGTCCCTTCTGCCGACACACACTTTGGGTGAAGAGAATGCTGTTTACCGCAAATTCTTTCCCCTCTTTTCAATCCCAGAGGCCACTGCTGGAATAGTTTCTTCCCTCCAGTTCCAGTGCTGGGAAGAGACTGCAGTTCACTTCTGTTCCTAAAAGGTAGTTTCCATCACAGTGCAATTGCTCAAAGCGCTCTGCCAACATAATTCCCATTTATTTCCCACTTGGAGGACCAGGCTGTTCCTTATTTTGTTTCTGGCACTTCTGACTTTTTTTTCCGTGGAAAGGACACTAGGTTTTTTGCTCTTAAAGTGCATGTTTTAGAAACTAAGGGGTTATCTTAAATATTTAAAACAGACATAGTCATAACAAGCCCTTTTTCAAAAGCCAAAGATGCTTCTTCAAAACAAGAGTAAGAGGCGACAGCTTGCATTGCTCTGCTTCAACTATTTCTTTTCCTTTTAATGTTTGCTTTCCAGCAGTTTAACAGAAGAGCAGTCCTTACATACCACGGGAGGGTGGAGCTGGCAAATCTATGCAGGCTCGGTTTCACAGCATCCAGCACACTTATTTCACTGGAAAGACAAGTCACTTCTCCTCTCCAAATCCACAGCACTGCTCCTGAAGAAGGAAACTTGGTCACAAAACACACCCCACCCCACCATCTTCTTCCATCAGCCAACTACAGCCACACGTGTAAGAATCTGGATATACTTTTTGAGAAGATCCTATAAGGAGATTCAGAAACCATCTATTCATAGGGTGGGATAGCAGTTGATTTTTCAGAATTTCAGCACAAGAGGAGTATGAGAGATTGAAGCCTTGTAATTCTGCAGCTAGAATGAACTGAAAGGATAAAAGGTATGTACTAAGATTTGATGGCTACCTCAAGATGGAGAGCATAGTCATGCCCCTTTCAATAGAATTGAGATGCAAACATGGAGGCTCCAGGGTCTCATGGGACTCTCCAAAGGTTTGGAGTTGCTAAAGTTGCTACCAAAGTGTAGATTTAACAGGCTTGAAGAGGGAAATTATTAAATTCATCATTGGAGAGTAATATTAACTCTGTTTAATTTTAATTAAGTTTAATTATTCAGATTCAATGATGGCCCATGCCTACTCCTTTTGGGGTTATGGACCTTAGCAGACCATTCTAAGCCAAGTGTAGCCTCGGGACAGGACCAGCCATTTCCTACACCGCAGGGCTGACCAGCTGTGCCAGATTCAATATGGGCTAGAAATGTTGAAAGGGGACATTTAGGTAGGATTTTCCCCACCTGCCCAAACCTTCTTTTGCTTTGCATGAGAAAACTCAGGTATCCTGTTCATGTTGTAATTTGAAAACTCACATTCTTACCAAGATACCTAAATTCCATAAGCATCTTTGCTGATTTTAACATTTCTGGAAAAAAAAGATTATGATTTTCCCACTACAGTTGAGGCAGTTTACTTTCCTATGGTCTCCCCACTAAAATATATCCCAAAGGGTGCATAATACAATGACTAAAACTGACAAAGTACCATCACCCATACTTTGACCCCTTCATTTTTTCTAACCAGCTGAAGTCAGACAGTATTCCATTCTCTTCTGCGCTGGTTGAGGGGAATTGATGATGCTATTTCCAGATCCAAGTGGTACAATTAAATATCCTTTATCTAAGAATTGAGAAATTGTGTACTTCTCCAAAATGAATCCAGAAACCTTTAACCCAGTGTTTCTCAACCTTAGCAACTTTAAGACATGTGGACTTCAACTCCCAGAATTCATGCTGGCTGGGGAATTCTGGGAGGTGAAGTCCACACGTCTTAAAGTTACCAAGGTTGAGAAACACTGCTTTAACCTAAATGGAAGAAATGGGCAGCCAAATAGTAGTGTGCCTAGTTCCCTCCCCCAACCCCCACACTCCACAAAATAGTGATCTGCAGAAAACATTTTGGGGGGGGTGGGAGGAAAGAGCAAAGCAAAATCTTTCCCTCTTCCTCTCTACCAAATAGCTGAAAGCTTTGTTTCTTTTTCCATTACAGAAGTTGCAGAAATACTATGATCTCTAACGGCTGCCCTGAGGGGAGAAAAGAAGTCTTAGCCCTTTATTTTTTTCTCCAAGCAATACAGAATAAAATAACTGAGTTTCTACTGTTAATGGTACATGTAGTCCTCACTTAATGACCCTAATTGGGACTGGCAACTCTGTTGCTAAGCAAAGCGGTCGTTAAGCAAAACATCACGTGACCACTCTGCTTAGAAACAGCAGTTCTGGCAGTTCCTGTTGTGGTTGTAAAGCAAATCACCCACGGTCGTTAAGTGAGTCATCATGTGACTGCAACTTGTGACCTCCTGCTGGCTTCTCCATTGACTTTGCTTGTTGGAAGCTGGCTGGGATGGTCGCAAATGGTGATCACGTGACTGCAGGACACGACTATAATAAATGAATTATGGTTGCCAAGTGCCTGAATCGCAATCACTTTATTGCAGGGGCCGTCGTAAGTGCAAGGACTGGTTGTAAGTCACTTTTTTCAGTGCTATCATAACTTCAAACAGTCACTAAATGAATGGTCATTAAGCGAGGACTATCAGTAACCAAAAATGCAGCTATTTTATTTTTGGTGAGATACACAAGGATGGGAAGGGGTGTTTATGTGTGAGAAAGAAATGCACATGCATGTATACATCTGTTCCCCATAGCCTGAACTGGACCTGGGCTACCCTCTGGATGAAATGTTTGCCCATATTTATTGTACAGATCGCTCACATGGCATTTTGGTTTAGCGTTTAAATCCACTTTACTCATTCCTGATATTCTGAAAGGGGGCACGTTACTTTATTAAAACTAATATATTACAGTCTTTTTATCTTTCATGTTTTCACCACTGAGAATGGTAGGGAGGAAAATCTGCTTCACATGCAAAACTGCAAATATACTGTAAAGAGTGCAACAAACGTTCATCCTTCCCCAATCTAAATCCCTCCAAATTATACCTACTGTTGTTCAAGATGGCAGGAATTAAGGAAGGCGCATATTATTCTCCTACCACATCTGGAGAGCAAAAGGATGGGGAAACCTGTTTCACATCATCTACAAACGGGGGAAGGGATTGAAGAAGATTCATGCACCCCAGTCCCTTAGAAACAAAGCTCACAGTATTTGTGATTGATCATTTCCACATCTGATCAGCTTAAGTTGCTTCACTCTTTGCTCTGAACTTGGCATGACTTCTGTTGTTTCCCAGAAATCCCACATGCTGCTGCAGATTTCTAACATTTAATGTACAGTAAATATTAACATAACTTAAGCATCTGCATTACAGACACTGCTCTGGGCTCCAAATCCTAATGGTAAGGAACACTTTTAATTATCTGAGGTCAAATTAAATCCTTTGCTTGCAGAACTTTTCAGCTTCCAGTTCATTCTCCACTATTTTATCACAACATCCTTCTCTTAGTGTAACTTTCTAAACTCACTATACTCAGAATATTCTGTCAGAATGTTTTGAATTGGTTGTGTTCCAAACAAACAAAACTTGGAATACCCTAAGTATCCCGTGTTCCACATGGAAGAAAATCTGAAATATTTCAAGTGTCCTACCAGACAGAATGAAGAAAACAAAGCAACTGGTTTTTTTTGTTTGTTTTTCAATCAAAATCTATATAGTAGAAAGGAAGGTAAGCCAGACCCTGCCATCAAGCCTACAGAAAAAATGGTGAAAGAGGTGATTGTTTTTTTAAAAGAATGAAATTATTTTTACATTCTCGTAGGGAACAATGGAAGCAAAGCTTTAAGCACGTTTCCCAGCCTGCCTGCATAAACATCCACAGAAACTCAGCAAAGAGCAACACGTAGCATTATTCACTTGAACAGAGTCCATGAACAATAGTAGCAAAAAGAAAAAAAAAACTTATTTGGCTACTGACTTCAAGCCTTTTGGTTCTCTTCTTAAGGCAGAGTTATAGACACAATTCTGCACTTGGCCATATGGCAGCAACACTCAACAAGCAAACAAACAGAAAAGCAGTATGGCCTTGACACTTCAGCATACAGATTCAAAGCACATCAATAAGAGCAGGTATACATTGCATTTTACAAGTTCCAACCAAAAAACTAGAAAAGCATAATTAGCAACGTTCGTGCCCAGCACAATCCATTGCATATGTCAATCAGAGCAAATTGCATCATCTGGTTGGCAGCCAAGATCAGCCTTCAGAAGTGGTCATGTTTGGGACTGGTCGTCCAAAATTGCACATATAACTCCCTGCTTGCACCAGGCAAGCTGATGACTAGAACCCAGCAGCATCTGTCTCTAAGCATGTGGTTAAACAATCACTTATTTTTTCCCATTCCCTCTTCTCACCCTATTTGCCAATAGCAGCATAGATGGAACTAATTCTTCTTATTTTTCTGGCTTTGCTGAAAAAAAAAACCCTAAGAACCAAGCTTATTGCAACTTACAAAACAAATCACGGGTCTAAAAACTCTCAGAATACTTGAAACAGCCCCATTTTGTCTCAAGCGAAGACCAGAAACTGTGTGTTTTGTTCCACGTTTAAGGTAACACTGTTCCCTGGGAACTCTGTTCCCAACTTGAAGCACTTGGAGCAACCATTTCAAGCTTGGAATCTCTTGCGCATTTTAAAAAGCGTATATGAGCTGGCAGATGGAGGGTATCTCACTCATGACTTCCCATATTTCTCAGTAACATACAGACACTGAAACCCAAGGAGGGCTATTCTGATTAATGTTCCAAGTAATGGTGGCTGCATGATCGCAGCTGTAATTCAGAATGACACACAGTCCTAACAGTCCAGTTATATGATACAGGCCCCCAATTTTCTACCTACAGAAACTGCTCTGTGATAGCTTTTTATCAAAAGTGCAAAAACATAAATCATAAAATGTGTGTTTGTGTGTGTATGAACATGTGTGTGTGTGTCTGCTTGTGGAGGATTAATGGTTGCAAAGCCTTGAAGATCTTTTCACCCATTCTTTGCCTGGAGGCTTTTTCGTTCTCCCAAAGAGAAGCTCAGCTCACTGGTCTCATTATATGCTCATTTTCCTTTTACTCCTTTGTTTCTCCCCTCCTTTTTCCTCCAACGCATTCCTACCTGGAACCCCACAGGCTCTTCCACAGAGCCAGTGATTTACAGGCTGGCTGAGAAAATCAGTTAGCAATTCCTTTCGCTTTA